ATGCAATTTCATATTTCTTTAAAAATTTAACTTTTTTTATTTTCTTAAACAAATTAATTGAGCCAGCATTTTTACAGTTACAATTATAATCCAGATTATTTCTTAATCTTAGTCACCTGTCCTTTAAATTTGTTCCTAGTTGAGGTTTTACAAATAAAATCTAGTCCCTTAAGATTAAAACACAAAATGTGATTGGATGTTCAAAGGTAAGACATTTTCATGAGCTTTATTTATAACCTGTCAAATATTATAATCATAAAACTTTAATCTAAACTGATATATAACAAATATACTTGATGGTGACGTAATGTTTTCTGATCATTACTGCTCTTTTCTGTCAAATAAAAAAAGCATTAAATGATCATGTGTAAACTTCCTGTTAGCTCTTCTGTGATTGGTTCACCCAAAGGAGCACGTGACCGGCGGTGACCATGACAACCACTGTGTTAGAGGAACTAACGGTGTTTGTCCCCTGTGGACCTGTCCTCCGTGTCGGTACTGAAGCTGGACCATGGCAGCTCCGGACAGTTCGTCTCAGGCCGAAAGCTTCAAGGCTTTCCTGATGAAGAGCGACCAGAACCTGTGAGTACCTCCGAACCGAGCCGAGTCTAAACCCAGACCGCTCCAGCGTCCTCTGCCTCCAGACCACCGTGAGGTGGGCCAGCTGCTCTGCGGGGGGTCGCTGAGGGACCACCAGTTAAAACCACTGGTTTCCTGTCAGAGACACAATAAACTGGTCTGAGACCACAGCCAGATTATATCATCTGATTTAAATTATATGACGGACTATAGGCCAAACAACGAGATTTATTTTTAAACTACGAGATTAAAGTAATAATATTACGAGATTAAAGTCAAAATATTACGAGATTAAAGTTAAAATATTACGAGATTAAAGTCAACATATTACGAGATTAAAGTTAAAATATTACGAGATTAAAGTCAACATATTACGAGATTAAAGTCAAAATAATACGAGATTAAAGCCAAAATATTACGAGATTAAAGTCAAAATATTACCAGATTAAAGTCAAAATATTACGAGATTAAAGTCAACATATTACGAGATTAAAGTCAAAATAATACCAGATTAAAGTCAAAATATTACGAGATTAAAGTCAACATATTACGAGATTAAAGTCAAAATAATAC